TATTGCCTCCAAGGACCTCAACCTGGAACTGTCCCTCAATATGGGAGAAACCAACTCGACACACTGATGGGCATGGTGAGCTTCACCGATTAAACACATACTAACATGATCTCTGAGGAATCTTCTCATTCCCCAGAGAATAAATGTGCCCACCACAGCCGTAAGCAGCCTGATCCTTCTCCTCGGTCAGAGGCCCAAACAACCAGATTTTCTCTTGGTTCTCATTCCCCAGAGAATAAATGTGCCCATCACAGCCGTAAGCAGCTTACCTCCTGATCCTTCTCCTTGGTCAGAGGCCCAAACAACTAGATTTTCTCTTGCGTTTCCTTCTTCCAGCCTCACAAGGACTGATTCCCCATTTTTCACAGAAGAAGACAGGGTTGGACCTAGAAAATAGTCAGTCATTTAAACTCCAAGCTTTGCTCTTTTGTTAATGTCTCTCTGAGCTTCGTTTTTTTCCCTTAATATGATTAGTTTCCCTAAGTGGGATAGGGCCATTTAATTAAAACAAACTTGAAAGAAACCTCGTCAAATCAATTGTAACCTTGTAAGTGAACTCAGAACTCTTTGGGCTGGATCCACAAGATCTCTTAGTAAGATATGTGTGCATTTGTGTATATCTACATATGTAAAGCATTTCCTTCTCATAGCGTCCATTATTCTAGGCCATCTCTGTGTCTGCATTTTCAGTATCCCTCAGAGGGTCTGAATTTCTTAAGTTTTCCCAAAGTACAAAGAGAGAGAGAGAGAGAGAGAGAGACTTTACTGTAACAAGTCACAAACAAAAATTAATGTTTTCAGCAATGCATTCATCTTTTACAACAAAGATAATAGGAATTTGAGGCCAAGCATTCACATTCCTACATCTGCTCCCAGATTTTTGTTTCTTATATAAGTTTCACAGTTGCTCATGCACTGTGCTCTCTCTTAATGAATTTAGCAGCATCTCCTTCTGGATATACTGTATGTTGTGCTGGCTAGGCCAGATGGGGGACTTAACCTTTTCAGACTCTGGTTCTGAGTAAAGTGGGCACTAGCAGAGATGAACCAGCAGCCAATCCATGTAAAAAGGGGAAGATCCGTCTGGGATCCACTTCATCTCCACTTCTCCACTACAAAAAAATAAAAAAATAAAAAATAAATAAAAATCCAGACAAACTCTCAAGGTAACATCTGCAAACCTACAATCCACCCAATCAGCAGCAAGCTGAGCTTCAGAAGGGGGTGGGTGGGAAGGAGCAATGTCACTTTCAACCCCCTCCCCAAGAAAATAAAATGAAAAAGGTGCCTTCCTCAAGCAGAAAATTATGCAAGGAAGTCCAATGCAATTCCTGTAGGTCAATAAGCTTTGACCCATTAGGGATTCCTACAACAAGATTCTTGTTCTGAAGCAATGCAAAGAAAGGTTGAGGAGACCAATTTTTGTGGCTTTTTGCATGAGCCAATCAAGCTTCACCAATCTGAGGCAAGTGCAAAATCGTCTCTTAGGAGGCAGATTATTTTTTTTTTTTAAAAAAATGCAAACCAAGGTGCCTTAAAATCACGCGAAACCTAGGAAGCGTTCGAATACTAGGTGTAGAAAATAGACACGCATCTTTTCCACACCGGTCAGTGCAAAATCGTCTCTTAGGAGGCAGATTTTTTTTTTTTAAATGCAAACCAAGGTGCCTGTAAAATCACGCAAAACCTAGGAAGCGTTCAAATACTAGGACATGCATCCTTTCCACACCGGTTTGCCCTCATCCTTTTTTCTTGCAGTACTGCAAATCGTCTGGGCAAACTCCAATTTCTTTTCTGCACCCCTTCCCATTAAAGGGCAACAAATCATCCTCTCTCTCTCTCTCTCTCTCTCTCTCTTTTTGGAGGGAGAGGATAAGAAGAGGAAACGCTTTCTCTCCCCCCCCCTTAGTTGAATTTCTTTCCCCTCCCAATAGAAATCGCGTGAAGAAGGGGCTGGTGGGGTGATCGGGGTTCAACTGGGGACTACACCCTCTTCCCATCCCCCGGCGAAAACATGTGGCAAGAGTCCCAGTTCTGGGACCGGATTCACATGGACTGCCCCCCCCAAGAAGGATCTTGGGGAGAAATATTTGCCTTTGTTTCTACGCAACTCCCCACAAAAGCAGCATTTTAGCCTTTTTCCCTCTCGACTCCCCCCCCCCCTTTGCCACTTTTACCTCTCTGTCCTCTTCCCTCCGTGCAACCGCAGCTAAGCCCTCATCATCATCCGCTTCCAAACACTACTACGGTAGCTCTTCCCGATCCCGGAAGAGGAGGGGAGCCTCGGGAGGCGCCGTCTTTCTCCCCCCTTGTACAATGGCTTTCTAGGCACTCAGGCTCCTTCCATTTAACTCTTCAAGGACTGCGTGGCAGGCATCGCAACTCTCACTTTATCTAACCATGCTTATTTCAAGTATATTCAATCCATTTCTATGGGTGTCCATCATGCCTATACTGTACATTTTATCTCAGCCGCTTTCCTCTGTATTATTGATCTGTAATGATTGTGTTCTAAACTAGTGACTTTCAAATCTTCCAGGGAGTGTCCTGGTAGATTGAAAGGGTTGGAGACAGGTTTCTGTGTAATACAGTAATTGTGGTTTGTTGATCTCAGGTTTGTGACCATGGACCAATTTTTGTGCACCCTGTCCTTTTTGAAGAGTGGCATTGTTGGCAAAAAGTGGCAGGACACTCTGTAGTACACAATCCTCTCCCTCTGTATTCTGTTGCCACCTCCCACCCTCTACTTTTGAGTAGCGAGTCTTCATGACTGGGCACAGCAGCTAGACTTTTCCCCCCTACATGGAATGAGAAATGCCAGATGTTCAGTCTAGACTCAGAAAAGGAAGAGACACTAGAGGTCAGTTTGCAAACATTGGTTGGCTACTGTGGTGTACAAAAGAATTTGATAATAATATAGTTTGTGCTTTACAGTAAGAACAGGCATCCTTTCCTGCCCTGAACCCCAAATTTGGGGAGAGAGACGGTGGTTTAAAAAAAGTGCTTATGCTGGGGTTTAGTTTCATTACATTGTATAATGTAATGAAACTAAATGTTTGTGTTCTGCTTAGAGATACACTGTTGGATTCACAACCTTAACCATGCCAGCTATGTCCAAAAAGTTTCTCTCCTTCATCCAACTTCTTGGAAGAAGACAGGATTCTTACAGAAAGCAACTCAGGCCTCTTTTGTTCCCCTTCTGAAAAAAAAATATAGGAAAGACTTTGACCAGTTTTTGCCTCCCTCCTTTTCTATACTGCTGCAATTAGGACATTCCACAGGGAAGGGGAGGAAACAAGTTGGATCATCATTAGGACATTCCACAGGGAAGGGGAGGAAGTGGAGGAAACAAGTTGGTTCATTAAAGGCTCTCTAATTCCAAAGTACTCCAGCTCTAGCTATCTCTAGGAGAGAGGAAGGCCAGTTTTTGCCTCCCTCCTTTTCTATACTGCTGCAATTAGGACATTCCACAGGGAAGGGGAGGAAGTGGAGGAAACAAGTTGGTTCATTAAAGGCTCTCTAATTCCAAAGTACTCCAGCTCTAGCAATCTATAGGAGAGAGGAAGGGTATATCACTGGTTCTTAACTTTAACTTTGAGTTATTCAGGAGTTTTGGACTGCAACTCCCAGAAGCCTTCACCACCAGCTATCCTGACTGGGGTTTCTGGGAGTTGCAGTTCAAAAGCATCCGAATAACAAAGGTTAAGAACCACTGGGGTATATGATTCCCTTACCCAGCACACTGACTCATCCCTACTAGAGCTACTTGTGATATGAGCAGGTACATATGTAACACTCTCTGGTTCTTTTTCTTTCTTTCTATCCATCCATCCATCCGCCCACCCATCATCTGAGTGCTGCAAACACAAATCTTATAAAAGACACATCCATCCATCCACCCACCCACCCATCATCTGAGTGCTGCAGACACAAATCTTAAAAAAGACAATCTATGCTCCTCCAGGTAAATGTGAAGTAAAAAGGGAGGGGACAGGATTGCCTGGAGCCACTGCAGATGCCATACCAGCTGAGTGCCTTCAGAACACCTGTACGGTGTCCTTTCTCACTGAATCACATTCCACACTCCATGCATCTATATGGTCCTTCTGTTGTGTTAGTTTCTTGGCAGAATTAGATAAGTTTTGTGTGTGAGACATACTGACAATTGAACAAATTATATCTTAATTCCGCTCGAAAGAGGCAATGGAAGATACATGAAAATTAAGTCTTTTTACATAGAAGGTTTTCTGGACATGACTTAAAGGAATTCATTTTCAAACCAAAATAGTTTCTTATCATGACAATCTGATAATGAGGACAGCCGTGTCATTGCTAATACTGCACTGCTGTTTCATTAATAGGTAAAGCATGCATCGTACAGTGATTAAACAAAGTCACAGGTAACAATATTAATATTTCGTTGGCAATAATTTTACACACAAATAGAACGCCTGAAGCTTAGAAACAGCAGGGCTAATACTTTATAATCAAACATTTCCAAGCTGAAATATACGTATATCAACGCAAGGAGAGAAAAATCAAGGCTAAAATTGATCTTATTGGCTGAATTAATAAAGTTAGTTAAGGATAAAAGGAAGACAGAGAAAGAAAGAAGGGAACAATAATTTCAGTGTATATACAAGCTTTTAGGTACTTTAATGCTCTTTTATCAGTGAAGTTGTACATACAGTACATTTATATGCCTTCTCCCTGTGTGAGTTATCTGAAGCAGCCTAAGGTCCCCTTTCTGAGTGAAGTTCTTGTCAATCTCTGTGCATTTAAATGGTTTCTCTCCTGTATGAATATTTTGATGGTGTCCAGGTCTCTTTTCTGACTGAAGTCCATTCCAAATTTTAAGCTTTTGTATGGCTTAACCCTGGGAAAATTTTTGATGATGCCAGAGTCCAATTCTACTTGACATTCTTTCCATATTTCATGCATTTATAGTTTTCCCTGTGTGAATCCTTTGATGTCGCCTAAGGCTTTGATTCTGAGAGAACCTCTTTCCACACACAATGCAGAAATACATTTTCTCTCCTGTGTGGATCCGCTCATGCTGCCTAAGCGTTCCTTTTTGTCTGAAGCTCTTTTCACATTGCGTGCATTTATAAGGCTTTTCCCCTGTGTGAGTTCTTTCATGCCGCTCAAGGTCCCCTCTGCGGCTGAAGCCAATTCCACACTCCAAGCATTTATACGGTTTCTCTCCTGTGTGAATGCGTTCATGCTGCCTAAGGTTCCCTTTTCCACAGAAGTTCTTTCCACATATCATGCATTTATACGGTTTCTCCCCTGTGTGAGCTGAGTGATGCTGCCTAAGGGACCCTTTCTGACTGAAGGTCTTTCCACATTCCATGCATTTGTATGGTTTTTGACCCGTGTGAGTTCCTTCATGCCGCCGAAGGGTCCCTTTCTCACTGAAGCTGTTTCCGCACTCCATGCATCTATACGGTTTCTCCCCTGTGTGAATTATGTGATGTTGCTTAAGGGCTCCTTTCCAAGTGAAGCACTTTCCACACACCACGCATTTATACGGTTTCTCCCCTGTGTGAGTTGTGTGATGCTGCTTTAGGGCGCCTTTCCAAGTGAAACTTTTTCCACATGTCATGCATTTATATGGTTTCTCTCCTGTGTGAATTATTTGATGGTGCTTAAGGGCCCCTTCCCGACTGAAGCGCTTTCCACACATCATGCATTTATATGGTTTATCCCCTGTATGAGTTCCTTCATGCCGCGTAAGGGTCCTTTTCTCACGGAAGCTGTTCCCACATGCCATGCATTTATATGGTTTTTCACCTGTGTGAGTTCCCTCATGCCGCTTAAGGGTTCCTTTATCACTGAAGTTCTTGCCACACTCTGAGCATTTAAAAGGTTTCTCCCCAGTGTGAACTCGTTCGTGCCTCTCAATGTCCCCTTTTCGGCTGAAGCTCATGCTACACCCCATGCATTTATATGGTTTCTCCCCTGTGTGAGCTTCTAAATGCCGCCTAAGGGTCCCTTTCTCACTGAAGCTCTTTCCACATTCCCTGCATTTATATGGTTTCTCCCCTGTGTGGATCTTCAGATGCTGCCTAAGGGCCCCTTTCCGACTGAAGCTTTTTCCACACTCTATGCACTGGTATGGTTTTTCTCCTGTGTGAGTTATTTGATGTAAGCTAAGGGTAAAACTAAAACTGAACCTCTTCCCACATACCATACATTTATATGGTTTCTCCCCTTTGCTGCTTCTTTTTTCAGGAAATGTTCCCACATGGTTTCCAGAAACCATGATTTGATGCCATTTTGATCCTGACTGGATTATAGGATATCTCTTTGATTTCACATCGGCCTCCTGAGAACTGGACAATTTTTTCTTTCCTTTGTTGGACTGGTTTTGTATGACATTCTTTGAATCCCCAAGCATCTCTCTCCCTTCCTTGGGCTTTTTAACTTCCCATCGCACAAGAGACAGCTTTTGGCAGCTCTCATCCTCCTGATCATCACCTAAATTTGGAAGAGAAAAACAGAAATAGCATGTCTGACTGTTTAAAAAAAAATATGGGGACTTTAACCAGATCAAACAAACAAAAAATAACTACACTGAAACTGGTAAACAAAGGCAACACCAAAACACATTCAAAGTAGCAAGGTACAACAATCCATTTGAAAACCCCACTCAGGGAGCCAGTCATTCAGGGAAAGCTTGCCTGAAGAAAAAGGTCTTTCTTTGCCTGCTTGTGGAAGGACAGCAAAGAGGGGACCAGGCTGACCTCCAGTGGGAGAGAGTTCCAAAGTCTGGAAGCAGCCAGAGAGAAGGCCCTCTCATGTGTGTCTACCAAATGCACCCATGAAGGTGATGGGACCCAGATAAAGGCCTCTCCTGATGATCTTAGTAGCCAATCAGGCTTGTGAATGGAGATGCGGTCATTGAGATAGCTTGGGCCCAATCCATTTAGGGCTCTAGAGGTTAGAACCAGCACTTTTGAGTTGTGTCTGGAAATGGATCTGCAGCCAGTGGATCTGCTGTAACAAGGAATTATGTGATCCCTGTGCCAAGCCCCAGTTAGCAACCTGGCTTCCTCGTTTTGACACTTTCCAGAGGAAAGTGAATTCCTGTAGAGTGCCATGATGTCACCAAGGCACGTGTCAGTGTAGCCAGATCAGATCTCTCCAGGAAATGCTGCAGATGGTGCATTGGTTTTAACTGTGCAAAGGCACTCCTCGTCACTGCTAAAATGTACGCATCCAGGCTACGGGATGAATCCAGGAGCATCCCCCAAATGTTCAGCTATGTTTTTAAAGGGAGCGTATCCAGCACAGGTTGTGACCCTGTTCCTCAATCTGCCTTTTGACTGTCCAGGAGCATCTCTGTCTTGTTTGGAGTAAGTTTCAGTATATCCACCCTCATCCAGTCCATTACTGAGGCCAGACACTGATCCGTAGAAACGAAACAGCTTCCTCAAATTTAGAAGACAAGGAAATGCCAAAACTCCAGACAGCCTTTTCCATGTAGATATTAAATAACATAGGAGAGAAAAGAGAAGCCTGAGGAAACACACAGGCCAGGGGCCAGGGTATGATGCTATATAAATGTCAACAACGGTCACTCTAGGATCACTCGGGATTTGAGACACGAGAGCAACCAAAGGGTTTTCAAAAGTAAGTGTGCTGCCCAATATTGAACTGGGGCCAAATTATAGAGCAGCAAAAAGGAAGAAGGGTAGCCACAGGGACGTATCTTCGGCCAAGGCAGCGGATGGGGAAAAATACAAGAAGCTGGGTCTGTGTCGCAGACCCCAAGATAGGTTTCTTCTTCCTAAGAAAGCAATATTTCCAGTTGATGCAGAAAAGGCAGAGAGCTCAGTCTGCCATGCTGTCACGAGACACAGACAACACTGGTTATAGTGCAAGAAGACAAGGGTCCCAGAGGAGACTGACTGATGTAGCTGTGATTACTACTGGTGGATTCAATGCACTTTCCGGCAGACTCATCCACCTTAAGAACAACCACCTAAAATTATCATAGAACACTCTCAAAGGCCCTACAACGCATACCTAAGCAGGCGCCTTGCCATTTCTTCTGCTCCTCAGAGTCCTGGACAAACGGATCATCTCCTTCTTCCAGTGAGAAGATGAGGTCTGGTTTGGGAATGGCTTCGAAAACAAAAAAAAAAGGTAGGCCAGTGACTGCCAACATTACAAATATTCTATTATGTTCCTACAAATATTTACATTTATTTATTACTCAGCTTAGTCCTTTTTATTAGTCCTCTAGGGCTAGGCGAGATACACCAGAAGCTATAATACTGTTAGACTACGAGTCCAGTCATGAGGAGGCGGTCCACAACCTGCCACAGAACAGACTGAGTCTCATTCATCAGGAGGAAGCAACCAGGCCCTTACAGTGCTTTCACTTTGCCTCAATGACATTTCCATTTCTTCACATTACACTTCATTGTGATGTACCCGCTACAAGAGCTGAACTTCCACCACCTTTCATGCTCCACCAGGATGTTTTTCTCCTTTGAAGACTAATCTGAACCTCTTGACCCACAAGGTACTAGCTATTTCACCTTCTCCTGGATCATCTTGGATCAGAGAAGGACAGAGAATGCAAAACGGGAGCAGAATACAGCCCTGAGCGGTCCTGAGCCACACATACCATGAGACAGAATAGAAACACCCTAAGCCCACCCCTTCTGGAACCAGCGATGAATGGGCAAGCAGAAACAGTGCAGAAGTGACCCCCCTGCACCCATCGGAGACAACATTTTGGCCAACTAGATGTTAAGAGGGAGGTGAATACTCAAGGCAGAACACCCAAAATCTAGAACCATGGGATCTGTAGTCCAAGGAGTCAAAAATCCCATCCCCAATGATTGTATCAGCCATCAGGGGCACTTAAGTGTTCCACTTGCCAAGGAAAATATCAACAAGACCTTCACCCATGCTAGCCACTGGCATGGATCCTGTCCTTACCCAGAGAGCATACCATCTCCCAGATCTCCACCATGACTTCATGATAAAGAGCTCTTTGGCCTAGATCTAGGAAATTCCACTCCCTCTGGGTGAAGTGCACCGCCACCTCCTTGAAGGCCATGAGCTGAAAGAAGAACCAAAAAAATAAATAAAAAAAAAATCTTATAGTCTTCCAAACATAAAGCCAGAATTTTACCATGCAATGACACAGAATAAGTGGTTGGCTTTGCAAACATTTTTCCAATTTCACTTTGCTCCGCTGTAGCTCTTCAGAAGATTTACTTCCTCACCTGAGGCAGGTGTTCAGCCATTCTTTCCTGTCCATTACCCTCAGGAGACAATCGAGAGCCTCCCTCTGTTGCCATCGCACTCCCTGTGAGAGAAAGAAGCATGAGCCAGGCTGCCTCAGTGAGGCCTGCGGTTGCGATTGTCATGCTTTGGAAACAACTGCAGAGAAGCTGAGTCTGAAAAGAGCTGTAAACCAACACTCCTCAGGTGTCTGTGGAGCAACAGAATGGTACATCAGGAAGATTTCCAGTGGTTGTTGTGGGTTTTTTGGGCTCTTAGGCCATGTTCTGAAAGTTATTCTTCCTGACATTTCACCAGTCTCTGCGGCCGGCATCTTCAGAGGACTGTAG